ATCTGCTTGCACAATCAACAATTAAGTGCTTTGACATGGTGGTGCCCTGTGAACGGCCACCAGCTCGACCCCCCCCCCAGAGTGCTAAACACGAGTTTAGCAGCCACGTAACGTCTGAACGGTGGCTCAGAGGTTAAGATGCTGAGCTGCAGACTGGAAGGTCTGTAGCTTGGCCGTTCAAGACCCGAGTGTGCCGCATGACAGAGTGAGCTCCCGTCTCTGGCCCCAGCTCCTGCCAACCTCGCAGTCCGAAAGCAAGAAATTGCAAGTAGATAAATAGGTACCGCTTCGGTGGGAAGGTAACAGCATTCCGTGCGCCTCGGCATCTAGTCATGCCGGCCACATGACCACGGAGAAACCTTCGGACAGCGCTGGCTCTTCGGCTTGGAATAGAAGATGAGCCTCAGAATGGCTTACAATCTCCTTCCCTTCCTCACCCCCACAACAGACACCCTGTGAGGTAGGTGGGGCTGAGAGCTCTGAGTGAGAACTACTCTTGAGAGAGTTTGTGACTGACCCAAAGTCACACCAGCAGCTGCATGCGGAGGAGTGAGGGATCAAACCCGGTTCCCAGAGTCGGATTAGACTGGCTTTCCGACTCATCCCCAGAGTCGGATTAGACTGGCTTTCGAGCAAGGGAGACCTTTACCTTCATCTATAACGTCTGGGCAGGAACGCAGACCCTGACTGACAGAAACACCCCCCCCCCCAACACACACACACACACACTCACGTCTCTGAAGTGGGCCAGGCCGCGCTCGCCCAGGGCGCTGAGGCACTCGTAGGCCGAGCCCGCCTGGAGGAAGAGCTGGGCCAGGCACATCGTCTCGCTGCGGAACAGGGAGCCCATGGCCCGGCGGGGAGGGAGGGAGGGAGGGGGCGGCGGCTTCCCCCCTCCTCTGCTCTGGTCACCGCCTTGTCGTCGCCCGGCTCCTCTGGCGCCACCCCCGGGGGCTGCTGCTGCTGCTGGCGGGGTCTTCCCTGCCGGGGTCCATGGGCAGAACCGGCCACCGACACACACACACACACTGCCCAGCCGCTCGGAGCTTCTCCTCAGGAGCCCGACGAGCCGGAAAGAAGCGGCCACCCAACCAGACCATAGAGATTGCGGCCGGAAGTGCCTTTGGAGCGACGCGACGCCGCGGGCACCGGGCACTTCCGGCCTCCAACTGTTTCCTCTCGGGCCTCGCCAGATAGGAGGGTGTCGCCATGGAGACGCTGAAGGGCAAGTGGCCAATCAGCGGCTTCCGATTCTACCGGAAGGCATCCCTTCGCCTCTCGCTCTGCCTGTGTGATGGTGCGAGCGCACCCCTGGGGAGAGGCGGAGGCGAGGTTTCCCTGGCTTTCTCCCTCCTCCACCCCGGATCGTTTTATATTAATGCCGAGCTTTGGCTTTGAAATGCATGTTCAAGTTCTCTAGGAATGGGAGGTCCACGTTGCAATAAAGCAATCGATATGATGTTAGCAGCCAGATTCAGGTGGGTCCACTGATGGACCTCTGCTCCGTATGTTTATCCAATTCCTTCTTGAAGTTTTCTTCCATGCTTGTAGCTGCCACCACCTCCTGGCCTCCCCTGCTCGTACTGCCCCACTTAATAGCCCCACAATGCTAAAGAGATCTTCACAGCATCTTCTGGTGAATTGGATGCCTTACTGACCATCTGGCCGGCCCCCATGCAGGAGGCAATCTGGACTACCACAAACCGGCCTGCCATCATATTTCGATTTATATTCTATAAACCGGATTTATATTGTATAAACTGGATTTATATTCTATATGTTAATATTGTTTTTAATTGTGAAATGACCTGTTGTGACCAGTGTTCCCTCTAAGCTGAGTTAGTGTGAGCTAGCTCACAGTTTTTTAGCCTCCAGCTCACATATTTTTGTCTTAGCTCAGGAAGGATGACTCCAAAGCAAACTAGTGTATGCAGTAGCCAAATCGCTCGCTCACGACTTTAATGCCAGTAGCTCACAAAGTAGAATTTTTGCTCACAAGACTCCACAGCTTAGAGGGAACATTGACCCGCCCTGAGCCTGCTAGTGGGGGAGGGCGAGATAGAAATAAGATAAATACATAAAAGTCAGATACATTCAGTAGTCTGACACCAGCCTGTCCAATGGAGCAAGATACTAGGAAGAAAGCACCCCATTAGGAGGTAATAAGACTTAGCATTTTATATCATTTTAAATGCCAGGAAAGGAGACCTTCTCTAGATGAAGTTCTTCCCTCAATGGGGAATTAACAAGCAGCACAATGTTGCCAGTAGGGCAGGAGGTTCAGCACTAGAGGTTATGTCCATCTGATTTAATGTTAAAGAAGTTGGTTCCAGTGAGGATTCATTAATTTGCACACTTTCCTATAATTTAAGAGACACACAGTGGCTTCGGAGAATTCACCAAGGAGGAAAATAAGCCTGCCAGAATAGCTTTGTGCAGCAGAGATAACAATTCCCATTCTCTATATCTCCTCAAGTCCTTATGAGGAAAATTAAGAGGAGAATTTTGTTTGTCAGCTGTGTTTTGTATTTTATCTTTGCACCCTTCAAAAGATGCAGGTGAATTCTTAGAGGGAATCTCAGCTTTATGTGCAATAGCTGCCATCTAGTGCTTATACTCAAAATAACCATTTCATGCAAGAGTCAACATCACTAGCCATTCTGCGGAAGAGTGACAGAGAACGAAGATCCTTCCGTCGGCTTGCTTGGGCAGCGCTCATGTGTCCTCTGATGATCTCATCTGTGGTCATTCGTTCTGAAGAAGATGGGAAGAGAGACTGCAAAGGCTGTGCCATGAATTTAAAAGCGATCTAACTATATTTCTGGGGGGTGGCCATGTTGATCTGAAGCAGCAGAAAAAAGTTCAAGTCCAGTGGCACCTTTAAAACCAACTATGACGCCCCCCCGTCCTCTTCCCTCCCTCAAAGGCAGGATTTTCCCTCTGGTGTTCTTTCCCTTTTGTGACTGAGCAACCCAAGTTGTCTGTTTTCCTCTTTCTTGAAGAAATCTGGCTGTCCCACCCTGTCACAGTATAATTAGGAGTGTGCATAAAAATAAATTTGGGATTTTCCAAATTTGGATATATTGAACCCATCCATCCCATCCCCAGATTCAGGATTCCCCAAAAACCTGAATTCTAATCCTGGTATGTTGTTCAGATTCAGTTTTTTTTTTTTTTAATCCCTATTTTTCCCGACTTCTTTCATCGTACCCTATGGGACCATTGTAGTCAATGGGGAATCTGTCTGGGTATCCAGGGGTTTGGAGGGCTGTTTTTTGAGGTAGAGGAAACAAATTTTCAGTGTATCTTCTGGTAAAAGGTAAAGGTTTCCCTTGCTTTGTCAGACCTTGTAAACACATGCATTTCCCACAATTAGCCCTTCCTGGCAACTAACCCCCTTCCCAGTCCCACCTATATGTCATGAAGTTCATTTCAAAGTGTATGAAGTGTGCATGTACATGAAAGCGTATACCCAAAATTAAACTTTGTTGGTCTGAAAGGTACATCTGGACTCAAACTTTGTTATGTTAGCAGCCAATTAAAGATGCACAAATCTTGTGTGTGTCAGAGAGGAGGAAGAGACTGGATTTATATCCTGCCCTTCACTACCCGAAGGAGTCTCAGAGTGGCTTATGATCTCCTTTCCCTGAGGTGGGTGGGGCCGAGAGAGCTCTGAGAGGACTGCCATTGAGATGGTCCCTGTTCAGCCAGGCGGCACCCACGACCTCACCCTTTTAATTATCGCATAGGACTTAATTAAACAGGAAGGGCAAGAGGTGGCCTGGCCGGCTCCCATTATTTAGGGTTGCCAGGGGTCATTTCATAGAAAAAGAGCTAGGGGGACTCATTAGCATAACTCATTAGCATATGCCACACCCCCTGACATCACCGGAAGTGTGTCCTCCCCACAGCCAGCGGCGACCTCCAGCGGGCACCAGCAGGGAGCTCCAGGCCCCGCCCTCCCGCACCTCACCCGGGGGGATGGCGTCCCCCCAAATGACCCCTGAGGGTTGCCAACCTCCAGGTTGGGCCTGGAAATCTCCCAGAATTACAACTGATCTCCAGAGCTCAGTCCCCTGGAGGGAAGGACTACTTCGGAGAGTAGAGTCCATGGCATTATACCCCATTGCAGGCCCTCCCAAAACCCTGACCTCCTTAAGGTTGCACCCCAAAAATCTTCCAAGAACTTTACAACTCACAGTTGGCAACCATATGCTGCAGAATTAGACATCAAAGCCCCGGGATGATGCAGTGCTCCCTCTAAGCTGTGAAGTCTCGTGGGCAAAAATTCTACTTTGTGAGCTACTGGCGTTAAAGTTGCGAGCGAGCAATTTGGCTACTGCATAAATCAGTTTGCTCCGGAGCCATCCTTCCTGAGCTAAGACAAAAATGTGTGAGCCGGAGGCTAAAACACTGTGAGCTAGCTCACACTAACTCAGCTTAGAGGGAACACTGGTAGAGAGGTCTGCAGCACTTCAGCTTGGAATATTCCTTTGCAATAGCAAATCCCCTGAAAGAAGAAAGCTAGCAAAGCAGGTAGAAAAGGTTTTATACCCCGCCCTTCACTCACAGTCTCAGAGTGGCTTACAGTTTCCCTTCCCCACAACAGACACCCTGTGAGGTAGGTGGGGCTGAGAGAGCTCTTTCAAGAACTGCTGATGAGAGAACAGCTCTGAGAGAACTTGTGACTGACTCAAGGTCATGCCAGCAGCTGCATGTGGAGCAGTGGGGAATCAAACCCAGTTCTCTCGGATTAGAGTTTGCGCTCTTAACCACTGCACCAAAATAAGTAGCACAACGGTTACTTAAAAGATGCTTAGCATAGATATGAGAAGTCTAAAAATAATAATTGGACAACACTGTTGTCTGAATCCCCCCCCCTTTTTCCTGAATTAAAAAAGGGCGTCTTGTGGAGTCACAAAGCCTGAGACATTTAAATCATATGTTTATTTCACAATTATCTGCACTTATAAAAATACATAAAACTATACACGTTCTCTTTCCTTACAAATTCAGTACCAGTTATTTAAAGGACTAAAAAAAACCCGCATCAAAACAGCTGAATATTTATGTTTTATTCCACATTCCACAGATTCTTCTCCCAGGATCACTCAGCAGGACAGCAATTAAGATGAAGAACACCAGCACCAAGCCTTTGGCTAGAGACTGTGAGTAGGGTTCACCTGTCGAGAGTTTGAAACAGAGATTAGCAGCACAATACTTAGATTCCTTGATGTGATTTAGGGGCGGGGCTATGGCTCAGTGGTGGAGCATCTGCTTTCCATGTAGAGATTTCCAAGTTTAGTCCCTCATTATCTCCAGTTAAAAAGATCAGGTAGTGACTGACATGAAAGACCTCTGCCGAAGACCATAAGAGCAGTCCAGTGGTATCAGTCCAACAACAACAGGTCCATATAGTTCAACATCCTGTTTCCTGCAGTGGCCAACCAAATGCCCCAGGAAGCCCACAGTAGAGGGATGATGCACCCTCTCCAAACTGGGATTCAGAGGTATTCTTCATACATATACAGGTCTCATTTGGATCACTTAACGCAGCATTTTAGCTCACCTAGATCATTGTACCACATTGTAACTGTTGCAGAATTAGGGCCTGAATTGAGCCTCAGTCCTCTGTTAAGCCTATGTTACTTTAATTTGTACAGTAAATTAGGCTCTACAGTTGAACCTTTGGTTGTTTCCCAGGAGGCTTCAGGACTCTGCTAAGTACTGTGGCCTTCCTAGTACTGATAACTCCGTACATGACTTTTTGCCTTAGAGCAGGGGCGTCAAACATAAGGCCCTGGGGCCGGAACTGGCCTGTCCAGGGCTCTAACCCAGCCCACAAGCAACAGGTATGTATGGAAATGTAAGGTATTCCCCCTTTTATGGTATCCCTTGGGAAAAAACCTAGTCTTACATACGATTAAATACATTTATTGGAGCTTCTGTGGGTTCCCCAGTAAATCAATTGCTTTCACAGCTGGTAATCAATTGCTTTTGTTTGTATTTTGAGTAAAAGATAATATTGTTAATTGGGTCTACTGGTGTCCTTTATGAAGTTTATATCTCTGGTACTTGGCGTCGCATTTTATGGAACACATGGTCCGGCCTGACAAGGTGACATTTATGTCAGATCCAGCCCTTGTAAAATATGAGTTTGACACCTCTGCCTTAGGGGATGTAGTGGGGTCACTACCAGAATCAAAATGGATAGGATATCTGAAACTAGCTTCCTTGGCTTTCCTTTCTGAGGGCTTCCTGACCCCAGAGATGGAACGAAGGGGAGTGTGACATCCTTGCTATTTGAGGAAACGGTTTTACCTTTAAACACTCTCTGAGTACACAAACGTGGTAGTATTATGCTGCCACCAGGAATTTAAAAATCCAATTCTCTCTCTTTTGGGAGTATGACCTAGGGTCTGGGCACTTCAGAGGACTATGTGGCCCTGAAGAAGTACTGTACTGATTTCTGGGATAAGTTTAAACAAAAATGATTTATTTAATAAAGAACAAAATAAGTTTCTGGTTATTTTGAACAGTTGCTGAAGAAAGGAACTTGTAAATATAACTGGCAAAGCTTGGTGCCACAAACAGTCTCTCAAACTCCAAACTCCACTCTGAGAGGCTTATATACTCAGTAGACTCTCTCTCTCATATATATAGCCACACCGGCTAGTCTGTTTTATTCACACTGAATAGAATCAACTCTCTTAGTCACACAGACTAAACTGTTGGTCTTATTCACACAGAATTAGACTCAGAATTCCATAGTCACAGACTATGTTCTCTCTTCAAGCTTCACACACAGAATCCTCTCATACACACACAGAATCCTCTCAGACACCCCTCCTCCCACACTCTGTCAGCAGCCAATCAAATCACACTTGTCACCCTCTATCATTCTTCTCATATTACTGCAGTCAAACTAAACATTTAAAGGAACACACACACCAAAACATGGAATCATTACAGGGAGAGATCACAGGTGGGTGCATCAGGTCAGTTCTAGTCAGTTCCGTGCTAGTCCTGACGCTTCAGGTGTGTCAGTAGGACGTTAACAGGTACGGTACCAGCTATTGGTCCAAGACAGGTATATACCTCTGGTTTACCTAGGGTTGGGGCTGCTCATCAGTGCCCAGGAGGCTTGATGTCAGTAGCCAGAACAGATTCCTTATTGTCTGAGTGTACATTGGGGGTTTCCTTATGTTCAGCCGTTTATTTTACTTGATGTCTATTTGGAATATAATAAACTGAACGTAGAAGAAAACTTCTGTCTGTGGCTCTCTCAGTTCTCTCTGGCAAGGAAGTGCCCAGCCAGCCTACCCACCAAATTGGAGTTTCAGACGGGGAGCTTTCCATTGAGAAGTTCCCCAATAGTAACACAGGTGGATGGGTCACTAAGGCCACTGGGGAAAGTCTCAGTGGTCTGATGGTTTAGGGGACTCCCTCCCCCCGCCACCCAATCTGACACCACTGCAAGCCGGAGAAGTGGGGGAGGCACCTAGGCCCGGCCACACCCAGGGCAGCAAAGAAAGTGCCCGGCCCCTCCTTCTCTGCACCCGGCCCCAGGGTGCCAGCCAATGCTCCCTTCTCAGCTGTGGAGTCCTGTGAGCAAAAATTCCACTTTGTGAGCGACTGGCATTAAAGTTGTGAGCGAGCGATTTGGCTACTGCACAAATTAGTTTGTTCAGGAACCGTCCTTCCTGAGCTAAGACAAAAGTGTGTGAGCCGGAGGCTAAAAAACTGTGAGCTAAGCTGAGTTAGCTTAGAGGAAACACTGGTGCCAGCCAGGGGAGGGCACCTCTTACTTTGGGCTGGCCAGGCAGCCTCTCCTTCCCTCCTTTGGTGGGGCAGGCCAGTGAGGGGCTAGGGGCAGGTCCCTTCTCCCCTCCCAATCTGCCCCTGCATTTAACCTGCATTGACGGACCTCTCTTCCATGAATTTCTGTACTCCCCTTTTTTTGAGCGAGTCGTTATCACCACATCCTACGGCAGCGAGTTTTCTAAGTTAATGGTGCATTGTGTGAAAAAATACTTAAGAACAGAAGAGAAGCCAATGTTGGATCAGGCCAGTGGCCCATCCAGTCCAGCACTCTGTGTCACTCAGCGGCCAGAAATACCAGGTGCCATCAGGAGGTCCAGCAGTGGGGCCAGGGCACTAGAAGCCCTCCCACTGCTGCCCCCCCAAGCACCAAGAATACAGAGCATCCGTTGCCCCAGACGGAGAGATCCTATCTATACCTTGTGTCTAATAGCCACTGATGGACCTCTGCTCCATATGCTTATCTAATTCCCTCTTGAAGTCATCCATGCTTGAAGCTGCCGCCACCTCCTGTGGCAGTGAATTCCATGTGTGAATCACTCTTTGGGTGAAGAAGGACTTCCTTTTATCTGTTCTAACCTGACTGCTCAGCAATTTCATTGAGTGCCCACGAGTTCTTGTATTGTGAGAAAGGGAGAAAAGTACTTTCTGTTGCCTGGTCCAAATCTACTATCCATCAATTTCAGTCGGAGCTCTGGCCCTCAAAAGTAAAAAAGCTGTAAGAAGGGTAAAGCTCCCTGATTATTATATAACACTTCCTATAGATTCTTCTGCCCAAGCTGCCGATAACCCATGTGAATGTCTGGCAAGAGTGTCCTTCCATTACAGAGGTTTTTTGGGGTTGTTTACCTGTGTAGAAGCGTGTTAGGGGATAAAAGAGTTCTGGCCAGCAAACGTCATTTCTCTTGCAGTCAAATTCTGTGTAGTTAATCTGAAATCTGCAAAACAGTTCAAAACTAAATCTTAAAACCAGACCAGAGGTTTCAGCGACAGGGCAACTAAGAGGGACAAGATTCACCTGGCCAGAGCCCAGTAATTTTATTTTCTTATCTACTTCATATACACCCCAATTTTCTCCCCAATGGGGGCACAAAGTAGCTTGGAACATTCTCCCCTCCAGAGAGCGACTGGCGCATGTTTCCATGGCAGAGTGGGAATTCAGACTTGTGTCTCCCAGATCCTAACCACTCCATCACACTGGTTCTCGTGCTGGTAATGCATACATAGTCCCAGGCTACTCATGCCTTCCTTGCTTTTCCAGACAACAAAACCCACCTTTTCATTTATGCCATCATCACTACGTCTTTATAACAGAATTATAATACTTGCATCCAAGGGTTACCTGGTCTTTGGAACAGGGGGCTGTGCTGGTATTTTGATGAACTGGACTGCAGCGGAGATAGGAAGAAAGCCGGTTTCATTTTCACAGACAAGTGGACACTGAACTTGCCAAGTGATTGTTGAAAAACTGAAGTGTGGAGGGGAAAAACTGTATTACTCTAAAAGGGAAACCTCAACCAGCAACTAAGTGATCAGTGCATTGTCATAATATCAGTGGATTATCAGTATAAGATAATCATTTCTTCTCAACTGGCTCAAAGATGGATTCTGCTTGTAAGTATGAAGGTGCTTTTGGCTACAACCGACTGAAACTTTCACAAAGCCAGTAGTTCTTTACAACGCATGTTTCTAGCCTTTATGGCCTCTGAAGTGCATGGACAAACCCTGATTAAATCCCAGAAACCACTGGCAGGGAGTCTGAGTAAGATTTCCAGTGGTTGGGGGCAAAAAGCATTAATGCACGGTACAGTTCCTTACCCCTCCCTGTGACTAGCTGAAGAACAATATGCATCAGTTAGCTTTTCTTGCTGCAGAGCTTTTCCAAGGCACAAATGCAACCCTGGTTTTAACAGGCCAAGCAATGCGGTAACAAATAGAAATTGCTTTTCACGGGTGACTGTTGGGGGTTGGAAATCCGTGATCGGATTTGCAATGCACAAAACTACAAAGAAGGTATGAACAGGAATCTCTGGGGCACCTTAAAGACTAACAAGTTTTTACTAACCCTTTGTCGACTAGAGGCCACTTTGTAACAGGCAAGCAGGTGTGGGTTCAGCAAGTTCCAACAGCAACTCGATCTAACATCGTTGCCATCTGATGTGAAGCTGCCTTACCTGATTTGCACCCCCAGTATTTCCTGTTGTGGAACTCCTTCTACTGCACCCACGTCAGCGGTGAGAATCTGGATATTCAAGTGAGCAGGAACCCTTGGGCACAGGCCTTTTAAGATCCCAGCACTTGTGTTTGAACTGGGGTCAAATGTATCTAAGCCTGTTAAAAGGGGGAAAGGGGAGAGTGTTACTCTGAGAAACTGGGTGAATTAAAAGTTGACAGCCGTCACTAACCCTCTTCTTACAAAAGGAAACGTGGTGGGATACGTGTCAATTCTAGATCAAGATGAGTCACGTTGTCTGTCTGTAGCAGTACAAAAGAACAGTAGCACCTTAAAGACGAACAAGATTTGTGGCAGGGGATGAGCTTTCCTGAGTCACTGCTAAAGTGGTGAACTCATCCCCTGCCACAAATCTTGTTAGTCTTTAAGTGTCAGGATCCTGGTTAAATCAGTTCTCAACACCAGTCACTTCGAAGGAAGCTAACTTTATCGAGACATTGATAGATACCATACTGGACAAGAGCTATTATTAGGACTGAAGGTGAATGCGCAAAGATTGCAAATATATTGTGTTCAAATAAAGGCACTAAAGATCAGCACCCAATCACCCCACGGTATTTGCCCACCAGAATTAAGAGTCAACTACCCCCAGTTAAGACGCTGAACTGCAGGCTGTGGAAGGACAGTAGTTCAGCAGTTCAAGACCTGCGTATGCTGCATGATGGAGTGAGCTCCCGTCTCTAGTTCCAGCTCCTGCCAACTTGGCAGTTCGAAAGCAAGAAATTGCAAGTAGATAAATAGGGACCACTTTGGTGGGAAGGTAACAGCGTTCCGTGCGCCTTGGTGTTTAGTCATGCCAGCCACATGACCACGGAAACGTCTTCGGACAGCACTGGCTCTTCGGCTTTGAAACAGAGATGAGCACCGCAACCCTAGAGTCGGATTCGACTGGCTTTCGAGCAAGGGAACCTTTACCTTTACCTTTTACCCCCCCACACTAATCATGTACCCCTCCCAGAGCATCCCTCCCGCCAGAACTCACAGTTGCCTACCCCCCCCCCATAGACACGTAGCCTCTACATAGCAAGGAAAACAGAATAACAGACATTTGAGAAACTAGGACATTTGGCCCCACTAAGGTGAAAAGCCCCTGGTGCATCAAAGAGAGAGGAACCTCCTCTCTCGATGGCAGGCGAGCTGTAAAATGCATAGGGAGCCTGACATTAAGGTGCTACTGGACTCTTTCTCTTTTCTGCTTCAGCCCTAGCAACTGATGCTTAGAAAGTGCTGCTACTCACGTATGATTTCCACCCAGTCGTCTGGGATGCTGGAATTGGAATTGCCTCTTTTCCCAACCAGGTTCTCCCACACCAAGGAATTCAGTGTGCCAGTGACATTCTCCCTGCAAAAAGTGAGCGTGTTACAACTGGACCCTGGGGAACTCGACGAAGAAAGAGTTTCTGTGAAAGTGTACCACTGGAAGGGTGGTGTTTCTACTGCAGAAACTCCCAGACAAGACTTGTGAGACTTTTATGGGGGAGGGGGAATAAGAACTCCTCCCACCCAAATAAGAAACAAGAGCAGGAAGGACACGAAGTGAGAATCCTTTGGGCACGGCACAGCCAACTTCAGCCACTGGGCCTGGAAATCTTATTTGTTTCAAGGGCACAGTTATGCAAAAAAGACCCCTCCCACTTGAATCAATGGGGCTGAAACATGCGTGACTTTGGCTGCATGGGACTACTTTTACTTATTTTATTTATTAGGAGCAAGGCCCGTTGTGGGACACAGACAACGAGTGCTAGAAGCAGGGGTGGCGGCACGGGTCGCAGAGGTGTCCTGGCATGGGCAGCGCCCTCCGAGCCGACTCACCTGGTGGGCGGCCTGGCAGGCCAGTGGCAGTCACTGGCTCACTGGGCTGGCAGGAGGACTGTCAGCCGCCTGCGAGGGGAATGAGGGCCAGGCCAGTGGTGGCAGGCAGGCAGCGAGGGCGCCTGCTAGAGGGGTGGGGAAAGGGGCCAGCATAGCATCCGTGGCCGGCCGGGCAGTGGCAGCATCGGGGGAAGCTGGAACAGCTTGCGGGGCGGTGGGGCTCATGCAGGCGTAGGCCGGGTGGCAAGGTGGTGGGGCTTGGGGCCAAGGCAGGGGGGCTGCCCCCCCCCGCTCAAGGGCCCGGCGTGCCAAGGCAGGCAGCCTCACCACTCTTCCCACCGGCTGGCTGAGCGAGCGGCACACGTAGCGGTGAAGAGTGAGGGACGGCCGCGCGTGGGCCAAAACGGCAGGCTGTGGCGACGGCTTCCTGGAGAGTGAGGCCACGATGGTGGTTGGCAGGTCTGTGGGCGGGACTGCACGACAGTGCAAGGCAAGGCAGCCAATAGATAAGGAGTCAGGGTGAGTGGCAGATGAGCGGGCAAACTGATTTTGCCGCGCATTAATCCTGCCACCCCATTGGACAGAAACCACCCCAACTCACTTTTATATATAAGGAGAGATACCCCACCTTTCTTGCCAATGGGGACAAGTGTTCCCTCTAAGCTGAGTTGGTGTGAGCTAGCTCACAGTCTTTTAACCTCCGGATCACACATGTTTGTCTCTGCTCAGGGAGGAGGGCTCCAGAGCAAACTAATTCATGCAGCAGCCAAATTGCTGGCTCACAACTTCAATGCCAGTAGCTCACCAAGTAGAATTTTTCCTCACAAGACTCCACAACTTAGAGGGAGCATTGATGGGGACCCCAAGCGGCTGACATCCTTCTCCATTTTATCTTTACAACAACCCTGTGAGGTAGGTTAGGCTAAGAGCATGTGACTGGCCCATGGTCACCCAGTAACCTTCCATGGCATGAGTGGGGGCTTGAACCTGGATCTCCCAGATCCTAGACTGACACTCTCTAACCACTACACCACACTGGCTCCCCAGATGTAAATGTTGGGAACTAGACATAAGAGAAGCCATGTTGGATCAGGCCATTGGCTCATCCAGTCCAACACTCTGTGTCACACAGCGGCCAAAACCCAGGGGTCATCAGGAGGCCCACCAGCGGGGCCAGAACTCTAGAAGCCCTCCCACCGTTGCCCCCCACAAGCACCAAGAATTCAGAGCATCACTGCCCCAGACATAAGAACAGCTGTGCTGGATCAGGCCAATGGCCCATCCAGCCCAACACTCTGTGTCACACAGCGGCCAAAACCCAGGTGCCATCAGGAGACCCACCAGCGGGGCCAGAACTCCAGAGGCCCTCCCACTGTTGCCCCCCAACCACTAAGAAGACAGAGCATCACTGCCCCAGACATAAGAACATAAGAGAAGCCATGTTGTTGGGTCAGACCAATGGCCCATCCAGTCCAACACTCTGTGTCACACAGCGGCCAAAACCCAGGTGCTATCAGGAGACCCACCAGCGGGGCCAAAACTCCACTGTTGCCCCCCAACCACTAAGAAGACAGAGCATCACTGCCCCAGACATAAGAACATAAAGAGAAGCCATGTTGTTGGGTCAGACCAATGGCCCATCCAGTCCAACACTCTGTGTCACACAGCGGCCAAAACCCAGGTTCCAGCAGCGGAGCCGGAACTCCAGAAGCCTTCCCCGTTGCCCCCCAAGCACCAAGAGCATCACTGCCCCAGACACAGTGTTCTAATCTCTACCTTGTGGCTAATAGCCACCCATGGACCTCATTGGAGAACTCTTGAAATTCCTTTGAACAGCAACCGTAGGGAGCCCGAGTTCGGATCAGGATCACAGTGCTGGGCAAGGGAGGCAGAATTAACCCTTCCTCTTGCACCCCATTTCCTGAAATAAGGCACATGTAGCAGCCAATGCTCCCTCTAATCTGCGGAGTCTTGTGAGCAGAAACCCTACTTGGTGAGCTACTGGCATTGAAGTTGTGAGCGAGCGATTGGGCTGCTGCATAAATTAGCTCGCTCTGGAGCCCTCCTTCCTGAGCAAAGACAAAAAAGTGTGAGCCGGAGGCTGAAAAACTGAGCTAGCTCCCACTCACTCAGCTCGAAGGGAACACTAGCTAGCAGCCTGGTTGAAACAGGGCACCGTGTGAGTGCAAAGTCCCAAGGGTGAGGTCCTCTGGCTTCCCAGCATCATGTTTAAATCAGGCCTCCATCAGCCCCTGGAGGTGATATTTGCCGCAGTAAGGCCATTATTTAGAGAAGAATAAATAAAGACGTGGGTGATCCCACCTCCAGAGTCTTATCTACTTTGGCCCTAAGTGAAATGCAGAAGGAGAGGAAGGACCTGTTTGCCACTCACTAATTAAGGAGGCGGATCTCTCACCTGCAGGGCTGGGGACCAGAGCTCCGACCTCCCTTCAAATATGTTATAAACTGCCCTGACCTGGGTAGCCCAGGCAAGCCCGATCCCGTCAGATCTCAGAAGCTAAGCGGGGTGGCAAGTACTTGGATGGGAGACCTCCTTGGAATATCAGCAGCCGGGAGGCGGGGGCAGGCTTTACTCAGCCACCTCTCTGAATATCCTCCAGGCCCCCAGTAGGGGTCAGTCACCAGAGATTGCCATGACTTCCAGGTGCATGCATGCAAGCACACACATACACATACATGAAAAATACAAAAAAATACCCCAAAAGTGCCACAAACCAGGAAAGAGGAGTTACCAAGGCTCACCTTAACTGACTGCAGTTCTCCTTGAGGTCGACTTCGAAAAGGCATCCAGAAACCGCATTCAGTCCAAACAAAATGGGAGTGGTCCTTTCCGACATGCACAGACCGCCGCCATCTATATAAAGACATCTGCTTGAGAAAACTTTGAATCAGCCTGTTCTCTTCTCGCTTGCAGTTTTACACACAATATTTTAATGAAAACACTACAGTGAACAATAAAAAGGTAAAGGTTTCCATTGCTTGAAAGCCAGTCGAATCCGACTCTAGGGGGCAGTGCCCATCTCCATTTCCAACCCGAAGAGCCAGCGCTGTCCGAAGACATTTCTGTGGTCATGTGGCCGCCATGACTAAATGCCGAGGCACACAAAACACTGTTACCTTCCCACCGAAGTGGTACCTATTTATCTATTTATCTAGGAGCTAGTTTGGTATAGTGGTTAAGAGCGGAGACTCTAATCTGGGAGAACCGGGTTTGATTCCCCACTCCTCCACTTGCACCTGCTGGATGACCTTGGGTGAGCCATAGTTCTGGCACAGGTGTTCTTGAAAGAGCTCTCTCAGACCCACCTACCTCACAGGGTGTGTGTTGTGGGGAGGGGAAGGGAAAGGAGTTTGTAAGCCTCTCTGAGACTCCGAGTGAACAGCAGGGTATAAATCCAATCTCTTCTTCTTTTTCTACTTGCAATTTCTTGCTTTTGAACTTCTAGGTTGGCAAGAGCTGGGGTCAGGGACAGGAGCTCACTCCACGTGGTACTAGGGTCTCGAACTGCCAAACTACAGTCTGGTCTGCAGCTCAGCATCTTAACCTCTGAGCCACCGCGATGCCCCCAAGTGAACAATAATGATACCTCAATGGGACTCTGTTCTATTAATCCAACATAACCATTATACTGGGAGGGGTTTAATCCAGTTTTTGCTGTTCCGCTTGAGGTGACCAAGTGGTCGTAATGCAGCTTAACAGAGATCTAAAACAATATTCTCATGTTGGGAAAAGTTTTAAATACTCAGCTTCTCTCCTGCATCCACTGAAGAAAGAACGTTTGTGTGTATTTAAACTCTGTTCTGTATGTCGTTTGACTCTGTTTTTCATTGTTTTAACGATGTGTGTTGATTTTAATAGTTTTGAAATGTGATTTCATCATGTGCGTTTTTAATGATTTGCTGCCGTGGTGGCCCTCGTAAAGCAGAAAGGAGGGACACAAACTTTTGTCAATGAATAAAGAAATGCCTGAAGAAAATGCAGGACAGCCGTCCGTTTTGATTACCCCTTTATTCTTCATAGGTTGCATGGGTAAAAGTCAGGCACCATATTTTAATGTTGCACTTAATACACCATATCTTGCTGCTAGCCATGCTGTGTCACCTTACCCAGACAAAGAACAGAAGACTAAAATCACTGTGGCAGTCGTCTACCTTGTTCTGAAACATTTAAATGGCAATGCCTAATATTCAATGTAAAGAAATGTTGTACCTGGCTTCCAGAGCTTTAAATTGGTAACTGAAGAATTCAGGTTTGCGGCTCTGACTGGTTTTCCAACTTGATAACCTGATTAAACAAAGAGGATATCATGTGGGATTGTACAGGAGTTCATCACCTCCGACCAGCAATGCTGCCAAGAGATTGTGTTGGAGTTCCCACAAAGACACTCTAGGGATGTTCTGGATTCCAGTTAAAACTAAAGAGGGCGGTTCGCACATTAACAAGCAACTACAGCAGGGAACGACTGAGCAGCACAAGAGGCAGCAGATGCTGATATTACAAAAAATAAAGGGGGGAAACTGCTGACCATCAATACGACATTTTGGTGTTTGAGCCAACAAGAGATTTCACCTGGATTCCCGGACAATTCTTCTGTGCTAGTAGCATTCACGCTCACAAAGTTTACAGTAAACCTCTGCCTCAGGGTGTCTGGTGGGGGAAAAAAAAATGCTGTCAATGTTTAATAAAAAGAGGGGCACCGTTTCTGTTGCTCATCTGTGCACTTTGTAGCATTTACAAATCCTTTAACCCCACTGAATGAACAATTTGATAATTTCAAAGCATCGTTTCGATAAAATGTGTGTGTGTAAAGTGCCGTCAAGTCGCAGCTCACTTATGGCAAACCGGTACGTTTTCAAGGCAGAAGACATTCAGAGGTGTTTGGTTTAGTTTTATTATTACGGTCTTAAGACCAGCATACAATACAAACATAGTATGGAAAGGAAGGAAAAAACAGAGATAATATACAGAATACAATCTAAAAACTTTTAAAATGCGACTCCCGCAATCTAAGATTCAATGCACAGAACTTAGCAACTGAACGTGTAATCTCTGCATTCTTATCTGATAGAAGCAAGTGAAGTCTTGCTTTGTTCATATTGATGTGACCAGGTATCCTATCAACTAATGAAGAAAAGAAGAAGAAGAAGAAGGAGAAGAGGAGGAGGAGGAGGAGGAGGAGGAGATTGGATTTATACCCCACCCTTCACTACCCAAAGGAGTCTCAGAGCGGCTTACAAACTCCTTTCCTTTCCCCTCCCCACAACAGACACCCTGTGAGGTAGGTGGGACTGAGAGAGCTCCGACAGAAGCTGCTCTTTTCCAAGGACAGCTCTTATCAGAACTACGGCTTGCCCAAGATCATCCAGCCAGGTGCAAGTGGAGGAGTGGGGAATCAAACCTGGCTCTCCCAGATTAGAGTCCGCACACTTAACCACTACACCAAACTGGGGTAATTATTTTAAGACGAGCCTCTCTGTAGAATGGGCAACTGAAAAACATATTCTCTACTGATTCGACCTCGCATGAAGTGCATGAACATAGCCTTTCAGGGTAGGGGTTTTTATTATACCTGCCTTGAATAACTGCAAACAGAAGGGCAGAACATCTGGCTAGGGAGAATGCCCTTCTAGAGTTCTTTCCCTCCACTGAAGTCAGAGGTGGTTTTGCCATTGCCTGCCTCTGCATAGCAACCCTGGGGCTTCATGGGTGGTCTCCCGTCCAAGCAGAAACCAGGGCCGACCCTGCTTAGCTTCTGAGATCTGATGTGATCAGGCTAGCCTGGGCCATCCAGGTCAGACCAATAAAACCGAAATCTGTGTAAGCATGCATAAGACATACAAAGGTACCTTCTGGGCAGATCTCTCCAAAAAGGACGGAGACCTTCACGTCTATTATTCTCCTGCCTTCCCATACGATCGTATAATTTTCTGCAAATGTCACATTTTCGCAGGCTGAAAACAAGACACGGTTCCGATGGAATGTGCAGTTTTATGCATTTGTGAATATTTTTACACCTATTGTTATAGTCACATATTTACCATCGCTGGCACAGCTTCCGACATTTGTTGTTTCCTTCTTATAGGTCACGAGTGGATTGATGTGATCTGACAAGAATAAAAATTGGGAATGCAAAACAAAAAGGCTTGCACTGAAACAACAAAAACACGCCTCATTCCAACCAGGGGCCCCACGCGCGGAAGCACGATTCTCCCGCACTGGGGACTCTACGTGCAGAAATTTGTGCAGCTGCCAACTTCCTGTGGCTTTGTACATCCAGTACCCAATCAGGTGAAGAGGCAGGCGGAAGAGGAAGGATACGGACACTAAATGCAGCCCCGTCTAAGCCCTCAGTAAGTCACTGGTGTTCTCGGGGCTGACCACATACTTATTTATTTTATTTATTTTTCAAATTTATATCCCACCTTCCCCGCAAACGGGCTCAGGGCGGATCACAACAAATTATTAGGCCACTCGGCATCACAAAAGGCAATAATAAATAGTTCATTAAAACATTAAAATCAAGGAATTTAAACACAGTTTGCACCAGTTATTGCACAGTCTCCGATACTGGTGCCGCTGGCTTCTGAGTTTGCTTAATCCGGGCCGCATAAAAATGGTATCTCCAGCAGGGAAGGCCAGCTATTTTTCTGGACACCCACTGCCTCAACCAGTGAGCCAGTTTGGTGTAGTGGTTAAGTGCGCGGACTCTAATCTGGGAGAACTGGTTTGATTCCCCACTCCTCCACTTGCACCTGCTGGATGGCCTTGGGCAAGCCATAGCTCTGATAAGAGCTGTCCTTGAAAAAGAGCAGTTTCTGTCAGAGCTCTCTCAGCCCCACCTACCTCACAGGGCGGCTGTTGTGGGGAGGGGAAGGGGTTTGTAAGCCGCTCTGACACACCTTTGGGTAGTGAAGGGTGGGGTATATATCCAATCTCTTCTTCTTCAACCAAAGGCCTAGTGGAACAGCTTCATTTTGCAGGCCCCGTGGAATGGTAAGAACTCGACAGAGGTATGTCCATGCAAGCTCTTAGCCTAAACCAAACCTAAATCTGCTCCATAAATGTGTCTGATCCTTTTTTAAAAGCCATCTTGAGCTAGCAGCCTTTGGTACATCTGGTGGCGGGGAGTTCCATATGCACTGTGTCCATTTTTTGCTTATGTAAGTGCGTAAAACATTTGGTAGAAGAAGAGAAGAGTTTGGTTTTATACCCCACCCTTCACTCAGAGTCTCAGAGCGGCTTACAAACTCCTTTCCCTCCCCCTCCCCACAACAGACACCCTGTGGGGTAGGAGGGGCTGAGAGAGCTCTGAGAGAACTGCTGTTTCTAGGACAGCTCTGACAGAACTACGGCTTGCCCAAGGTCATCCAGCAGGTGCAAGTGGAGGAGTGGAGAATCAAACCCGGTTCTCCCAGATTAGAGTCCGCACACTTAACCACTACACCAAACGGTTTGACATCAGCAGCTGCCCGACTTCAAGGGATCGTGCCTCAAACGTGCAAGCACAGCCGTCTGTTCTGGGGCTCACTGGCAGCGCATCCGCTTGGCATGCAAAAGGCCCTGGGTTCAATCCCTGGCATCTCCAGCTAAAAGGACCAGGCAGTAGGTGATATGAAAGACCTCAGCTGAGACCCTGGAGAACCACTGACAGTCTGAGTAGACAATACCGACTCTGATGGACTGATTCAGTGTAAGGCAGCTTCATGTGCCTGAAAATATCACAGAACCCTCCCTAGCAGTCCAGCCACCCTCATCTTTCACATCAAACGCTACATACCTCCAGTGCCGCTGTCTATGGCCACAGTGGGAAGCAGGCTCCGCCCATCTTCGCAAGTAGCCAGGCACTCAACGGCAAAATCCCGAAGGAACGCAACGGGGGCGTCCCTCGCACACTGCCCAGCAAGGAATGGCTGCGATTGGATTGATTTTGGGAATTTAGCTCCGTGCAACTTCTCTCCCCTCCCCACTCACAGAAATTAAAAGCAAGCCCCCAAAGAGGCAGAGGGATTGTTCACGCAAAGAGGCTCTTATTACCTGGGGGACGGCAAAATACTCGTTTTCTGCAGTCACAATTGGATCGCCTTGTTTGTAACCACTAAGAGGTTTCGCTGGGACGGTCTGAAACGGAATCTTAAATGAAGACGCTTCAGAGGACGTGCTGCGAATACATTTTCAAAGCACACTAGTGAAATACATAAAGAGTTAACTTTAGACAGATCCAGAAGCAGCAAAGCACGTAACACTGTCAGCGGCGGAGGCAGAAGGGAGAAACGGACTCGATGGAGAAGACAGCTACGATGCTGTTCTTGTCCGCTTTCAACCCCATCCAAACTTTTTAAAAAAGAATAAAACCTGTTTGGGTATCCTCCATCACCAAATAGAGGGAAATGCACGGCCTCTGGTGAAAAAAAAATGAGGGATGGGACCAGTGTTCCCTCTAAGCTGAGTTAGTGCGAGCCAGCTCACAGTTTTTTAGCCTCCGACTCACACATCTCTGTCTCAGCTCAGGAAGGAGGGCTCCAGAGCAAACTAATTTATACAGAAGCCAAATTGCTCGCTCACAACTTTAATGGCAGCAGCTCACAAAGTAGAATTCTTGTTCACAAGACTCCACAGCTTATAGGGAATATTGGATGGGACCATAGCAGATCCTTTGGGAGCAACTGATACTATAGAAATCCTGAAGCTGAGTTGCTCTGATCATTAAAGAAAACTAGGTGGAAGGTCATTGGGAGCCCCAGGTAAGATAAAGATATAAGACTGTATTCCTAAACGAGCATTCCAGCTCTGGAGCGGAAAGAAGGAATCGCACAGCTGCTGCACAGTTAAAACTAAAAACCACATGCCCGCACACTTGTCCCAGATGAGCTGCCATACTTACGTAGAACCGTGGTAAAAATAACCCAGGAAAGGTGTATTGTTCAGGGAAGACTGCACACATAAGAAGGGAAACCAGTCTGGGGTGTGGATCCCAGTTTGGACAGAGCACAGCTGGTCAAAAGGTGGATTGACGTCCCCGCCAAATACGCCACTAAAACACGACCCAGTGAACAACTGCTTCATCTCTGGCGTACATTCCTTTAAAAGGAAAAACAGACACACACAGGAATTAACGATACAACAGAGCTGAGCAGAACCTGTTGCCAGTCTGGGAAAAATGAAAAGCACCAGGAACAAAGCCGACACGTACTTCTTAACAAAGGTCCTTTCTGCACTAAACCTTAAATCCTGGTTCAACTCTGTCCCCGAACTTACATTCTACACTACACACGAGTTCACCCTTTTAATTATCTCGGGGTATTTTTACATTCTACTTTACACTCGAGTTCACCCCTGTAATTATCTCGGGGTATTTTTTGTTTCGACATTACATTGAGGTCACCCCGGTTTTGCCCTACACTTGTCCCGGGATAAACGGATGCTGTTGTTCCTTTCCACACTTGGATCTCATCCCTGGTTTTATCAGAGTTCAACTCACAACACAATACCTTGCATTTATCCCTGGTTGTAACAGCATCCATTTATTTATCCCAGGGCAAGTGTGAGGCGAAACCGGGGTGACCTCTATGTAATGTAGAAACAAGAAATACCCCAAGATAATTACAGGGGTGAACTCTAGTGTAGTGTAGAATGTAAAAATACCCCGATAATAACAGGGGTGAACTCGCGTGTAGTGTAGAATGTAAGTTCAGGGACAGGGTTGAACCAGGATTTAGGGTCTAGTGCAGAAAGGACCGTTATAACCAGGGATAAATGCAAGGTGTTGTTTCGTGAATTGAACTCTGGTAATACCAGGGATGAGATCCAAGTGCAGAAAGGACTAAAAGACAGGGGGGCAGGCAGAGTGACAGCTGGGAGGGGGCTCTCCTTGCCCCCATCACTGGTAGTTTTACGTATTTCCAGATATCAGTTTATTAGGGCACAGTACTAATGTTTTAAGGCTGAGGGGCAAAAGTCAACAGCACAGCTTTCTAATAAATTATCCCATGAGCATCCAAGTATCCCTAAGGATGCTTAATACTTTTAAAAGGAAAGCTTTTGGCGGGAGGGCGGGATAAAAATCTAATAAGTAAATAAATAAATAAACAAACAAAAATAAAGTTTATAACAAAGCACTCTTTAAACCCTACTTTAAATTCTAAAGTATAGAATTAATACCTGATCACAGCAGCAACGGATATCACATGCGCCGGCGGTCAGATTGCAAGGACAAGAGCCCAGCGGCTGATACACTTGATTGGGGATTACCGTTGCATTGTCTGGTTTACACAGAAAAGAAGGACTTAGGGACCGAAATGCCATAATTCAAATTCGATCCAGTTAGTCTATGAAGCCACATGGAACAAGGGGAGAGGAGAGGGAGGGACCATGGCTCAGGGGTAGAGCCTCTGCTTGGCATGCAGAAGGTCCTGGGTTCAACCCCCGGCATCTCCAGCTAAAAAGACCAGGTAGGAGGTGATGAGAAAGACCTCTGCCTGAGTTCTTGGAGAGCCACTGCCAGTTTGACTAGACCAGGGGTGGCCAAACTGTGGGTCAGGAGCCACATGTGGCTCTTTCACACATATTGTGAGGGTCCTGGCAGGGCGGCTGGGAAAGCAAAATATCATCAGCAAACAAATATCATTGGACAAATAAATATCATTATCAATATCTGCTTTTACCCCTTTTTGTGATTATTTTTGGCAGTCTCATTTAATGTTAATAAAAGGCAAATCTACATATCTTCCAAATAAAAACATGCAATATTTGTTCATGTCTTGCGGCTCTCAGACATCTGATGTTTATTCTGTGTGGCTCTAACGCTAAGCAAGTCTGGCCACCCCTGGACTAGGCAATACTGACTTTGATGGACCAATGTCCTGGCCCCACTGCTGGACCTCCTGATGGCACCTGGTATTTTTGGCCACTGTGTGATACAGAGTGTTGGACTGGATGGGCCTTTGGCCTGATCCAACATTGGCATCTCTTATGTTCTTAATGGTCTGATTCAGTATAAGGCAACTTCGTGCATTCGTACGAGTGTGAGGCAGGCAGCTCACGGGGGTAACTGACACACAGCCAAGGGCATGCAGAAGGGGGGGGGGGAAGGGCGGTACATGTCCATTCCACTGTCTCATCCTAATGAAAAACATCAGGCCCAAAACATCGCTCCCACAGACTCCCCCGGCGCACAGCCACCATGCAGAAAACACAAACAAGGAAACGTAAAGCTCGAGAGATCCAGATACCGAACATTTCTGGTTTTCCCGTCCCGTTCCCCCAGGATGAGTTGGCGTAGATCTCTGCTCGGATCAACAGATGAGCCACCACCACGGAGTCTCGACACGCAGAAACCTGCAGAGCAGCGACCAAGCAGAGGGCCTCCGTGCAGCAGCCGGTGCGGTTAGGAGCGCAGAGCTGCAGATTCCTGGTCAGGAGCACGGTCACTGTGGAAACATTCTGAAAGAAAACCATTTGATGGCAGGTTAAAGGGAACAGTTTCCCTTGCTCGAAAGCCAGTCGAATCCGACTCTAGGGGGCGGTGCTCATCTCCATTTCCAAGCCGAAGAGCCAGCGCTGTCCGAAGACGTTTCCGTGGTCATGTGGCCGGCATGCCTAGACGCCGAGGCGCACGGAACACTGTTACCTTCCCACCGAAGCGGTACCTATTTATCTACTTGCAATTTCTTGCTTTCGAACTGCTAGGTTGGGTCCTTGTACCACGGTCCTAATCTGAATTGTGCCCCCAAGGCACCTGGGACCTTAGTTCAAGCCACCTTTATTTCCCGCCACATGAACACATGAAGCTGCCAACCAGGAGATTTAGAGTCCGAGATGGCACAAGAATGTGTTCAAGGCCACCTTCCCCTGGGAAAGTGAAAGAGGAGGGAAAGGGGTTTGACTTGTGGAAAAATTACATCTTCTAAAAGCAAAGGTCTCATTCACTCCGGCATACACTCCTCCCCCCCATCCTCAGGAGTACCCTCCCCCAAAGAATGATGGCCACCCAAGCAAGCACAGTGGGAAACTCGACTGCATAATTTGTGGTAGTGGCACAGCAATTAGGCGGAGTATGGCTGTGACGTGTGCCTGGGGGATGGATGGGATCTGCTTGAATTTCCTATAATAAGACTGTACCCACCCAAAGTCTTTAGTTGTAACACAAGTGACTTTCTGGATCTTGCCTATAGCTCAATAAACTTTCACTGCCTAAAGAGAGTTGTTGAGTGTAACTGGACTGGGGGTCTGACAGAAAGTTCATACGGAGAGCAGGTGGACCTTAAAGGCAGCCATCCATTGGTAAATCCCACAGCTCAGAAATGTCTGAGAAGAATGATGGAATCTCTAACTACTTTGGGACAAAGGGGGCACTTAAGAAATTTTGCTGTTCAGTCGCACAGCGACCCCATGGACCAGATCACGCCAGGCCTTCCTGTCTTCCGCCGTCCTCTGAAGTTTGCTCAACTTCATGTTCGTTGCATCTATGACACTGTCTAACTATCTCATCCTTTGCCGTCCCTGTCTTCTTTGACCTTCAGTCTTTCCCAGCATCAGGGTCTTCTCCAGCGAGTGCTCCCTTCTCATTGGGTGGCCAGTGTCAGCTTCAGTCTCTGGCCTCCCAGGGAACAGTCAGGGTTGATTTCTTTTAGGATTGACTGATTTGATCTTCTTGCAGTCCAAGGGACTCTCAAGAGTCTTTTGAACTATGGTGCTGGAGAAGACTCTTGAGAGTCCCTTGGACTGCAAGAAGATCAAATCAGTCAATCCTAGAAGAAATCAACCCTGACTGTTCCCTGGAAGGCCAGATAATGAAACTGAAGCTCAAATACTTTGGCCACCAAATGAGTGGCCTTAAGAAATACACACTGCATATTTTATTTATTATTTATTTAATTTATATCCCACCCTCCCCGCCGAGGCAGGCTCGGGGCGGCTCAACTTGCACAGAGAGACCAGTATTCTACTCACCCCTTGAGACGTGACATTCAAACGCCAATCCCCAGTCCGGTTTCTTCCACTACAGTCTTTGAGAGGCAACATTCCTAAAGGAAAGCAAAGATCAAACGAGGAATGCTTTTAAATCTGTTATTTTCTCTCAAGCCTTCACCCAAGTAGTAACTAGGAGATACTACCAGAAGGGAAGGCTTCTGTCTTTGATACTGGATCACACACACACAACTCTACTTCTCCTTAACAGCTGAGTCAGGGAGGTCTGTGAAAGTTCTGAGTAAGTGCCTGGAGATGGTTGTGAGATGGCCAATAAGCTAAAGCTCAATCCAGACGTCTTTGATACTGGATCACACACACACAACCCTACTTCTCCTTAACAGCTGAGTCAGAGAGGTCTGTGGAAGTTCTGAGTAAGTGCCCGGAGATGGTTGTGAAATGGCCAATAAACTAAAGCTCAATCCAGAGAAGACAAGGGTGCTTCTGGTTATTGACAAAGCTGCTCGAGGACAGTGTCCTGGAGGGGACTGCACTCTCCCGGAAGGAACATGGGGGCACTGCTGGCTCCTGGCTACATTAGGCGGCCCAGCTCTCCTCTGTGGCAGGTAGTGCCTTTGCTCAGCTTCAGCTGACACAGTGGCCACAGCCATTCCTTGAACAGCGTGATCTGGCCACAGTGATTCAGAGTCGGTTACTGTAATACCCTTTGTCAGGCTACTTTGGGAAACAGTCCAGAAACTTCAGCTCGTCCAACAGGCAGCTGCCAGGCTACTGTCCAGGGTGGAATACAGGAATCATCTCACCCAAGTGCTGAAAAATCTGTACTGGCTGTTTCTAGGCACAATTCAAAGCACTGTTTTCTTACCTCTGAGGCCCTGAATGGCTTGAGGACAGGGTACCTGAAGGACTGTCTCTTCCCATACTATCCAGCCCATCAGTTAAGATCTGCCTTTCAAGCTCTGCTCTCTCTGCCCCTGCCTTCGGAGGTGTGGCAGGTGGTGCCTCATATACTTTCCCATCCCTCGTAACCCCTCCCCCCAAGGAGGCTGGGGAGCTGAATTTTTTTTTTCTCCTGCCATCATCTAGTATATGTATATTGTTTTTATCGATCTTCTTTTAGGTGGTTTTAATCCTGATTTTAATTTTTAAATTTTTTTATATTATTTTGTTGTAAGCCGCCCTGAGCCCTACCTGTAGGGAAGGGCGGCTTAGTAAATCTAATTTAATTAATTAATTAACTAACAAATAAAACAGACACAGGGCCCTGTCTGCAGTGGCACCTCATCTTTGGAATGCCCTCCCCCTTGAGGCTCACCTGGTACCTACTTTACTTTTGTTGAGGCACCAGGCTAAAACACATCTTTTTACCTAGGCTTTAATTAAGGGGTTGATTTCTAACACTATTTTAGCCCAGGAATCAAGTTTTTTTTAATTGCTTGTAGTCTGTTTTTATTTTCTATGTTTTATGCTAGGATGGGGCTTTTTAAATGCTGAGTTTTAATTTATATCTTTCAGTGTTTTGTTTTGTTTTAACGTTTTGTAAGCCGCCTCAGGTTCCTGAAGAGGCGGCGTAAAAAATTTCTAAATAAATAAGTGAGCTTCGAGGCAAAAAAGCAATTGAACCATTTCCACCTGCATTTAATAAGATGAAAATCTTTTTTAAAAAATGGTTTCTAAGCAATCTTACCTGTTTCATTGTCTGCAACAGAAAGGGAAAAAACGTCTGCTGGGCTGTCAGCCAAAGAGGCAGTGACCATGGACCCAGACATGTAGATAAATGAAGGCTGAAAACCTGAAAAAACAAACAGGTATTAGGTTTAAACATACGCCGCTATACAAAGCATATTTTGGCCTCATAAATTTTCATTTCAGACCGTGATAGAAATAACAGCCTGCTCTGACTGGCAGCTTTCAGAATTACAGTGATGGTTTGGGGAAATAGTTGAGAAGACAAGGTATTTCTTTTATGGTCTGTTCTGCATGATAACGCAAGAGTTATGGGCAATAAAGCCCAGCGTGCATAATTCCACATGCCCACAGAGCTCAACATGTAACAGCAACCCAAAGCAGATTTACAGAAGAAGAAGAAGAGATTGGATTTATACCCCGCCCTCCACTACCCAAAGGGGTCTCAGAGCGGCTTACAAACTCCTTTCCCTTCCCCTCCCCACAACAGACACCCTGTGAGGCAGGTGGGCCTGAGAGAGCTCTTGACAGAAACTGCTCTTTTTCAAGGACAGCTCTTATCAGAACTATGGCTTGCCCAAGGTCATCCAGCAGGTATAAGTGGAGGAGTGGGGAATCAAACCTGGTTCTCCCAGATTAGAGTCCGCACACTTAACCACTACACCAAACTGGTGTAAGATGCAAGGGACAAGGCATTCACCCCTGCCGTGTGCATCTGAAATGTGAAATTGTGCAGAATTTCTGGAGCAGCATACTGGATTTGAATCACAAAGCACCATCCTTACTTCAAAAACAGCCCCCATTCTGTCCAAAAATACCCCAGATCACACGTCTCCCTTATTTCCCTCTAAACTAGCCAAAAATGAATCCCACCCATCCATCTTTCACTCAATCGTTTACATGCCCAGGAGCACTGCAGGTACAAAACGAGAGGTACTTTTGGTCGGAATAGGCATAGTACCGTCACCTTTTCCCTCCCTGACAAGGCCCTTGCGCCTTGTGTGGCCCATGCGGAGATGCAAGACGGGGGAAGCTGCACCTATTGGATTTCTGCCTGTCTTATGGTTGTTAAAGGCACTTGGAGGGGGGAAAGTAATCCTAGACGTCTCTCCCACGAAGCAGAAACTACTACCAGTTTCTCTCAGAGATACAATGCAACAAGCAGGTTAAGCTCTTCCAGCCATGCGGATGCACCGCTGGGGGCAGCTGCGCCTGTTGGATTTCTGCCTGTCCCACGGTTATGAAAGGAATAGGAAGCAAGAAAGGGGCAGCTCCATAGCCCACCGTCACCCACCGGGATTCCCGTTCTGGGCCAGAGCCCCGGAGAGCACCAGCAGCCCCCAAAGCAGCCCCCTAAGCACCATAGCGGGGCAGCATCGCCGCTACAAGGCGCTGCAGAGCGAGAAAAGGCCTGCTAAAGACGAAGCCGCCGCCGCCGCCGCCGCCATCTTGACAACAGGCTCTCGGTTGCTATGGAAACGGCGGCCGGGGGGGGGAAGGCAGCAGGGACAAGGTTGCCAACTCCAAGAGGAAAAGGATAAGTTTCAAAAACAAGCCCGGTGTGCTTTGGCTCTGTTATAATCATGTTTAAGATTGGGTGGTGTTGTCTTTGTTGGTAAAAATAGTTATACAAGATGACAAAATTAGGATCGCCCCCCCCCCGCTGTTTCAGTGGTACAGGCCACAAAGGTAGGCGCAGCTTCCACGTTCTCCTACAACTCCCAGAATGTGTCTCCGCAGGGCGGGACCGAGAGGAGTGAACTGAACTCGATTGGTCAGCATTAATTAAGAGCTCCTTTGGGTTGGCTGGCTGCTGCGTTTGTCGGAAGAAGAACCAATCGCAAACATTGAAGGTGTTCCCACAGTGCCTCAATGTGCTACAGCCATCTGGAGTGGATGTTAACTCTCAGCGTAGTGTACAGCTGCAGAAGGCGCTAGTTTAGGGTTCCCAGATGTCCTCTTTTGGGCTTTTTTCTTTCTTATGCAAATATCCTCTTTGGATTGGAAGGTTAGGAATATTCATAGTTTGTAGCAATTTTCACATCTTAAAATGATATTTGTCCTAGTGATCACTTGTTTGAAGTAGTCAGGAAATACGCCCTCTTTTTTGCTTTTTAAACTATGGGAACCATAAACTAGTTGAGTAGGCTGCTTCCGACTTATGGAGAACCCTATGAATTAATGACCGTTGTCATTATCGTCAACAATCTTGTTCGGATCTTGCAAGCCTTTGCTTCTTTTATAGAGTTCACTCCATCTCATATTGGGTTAATTCCTCTTTTCCTGCTGCCTTCAATGTTTCCTAGCATTACTGCCTTTCCCAGTATCTCTTTACTTTTTCTTTTCTTTTGGTATATTTTTATACGTGAGTGTGTGTGCACCTGGAAATCTTGGCGACCTCTGGTGACTGGCCCCTGTTGGGGGCCTGGAGGATATTCAGAGAGGTGGCCGAGTGAAGCCTGCCCCTACCTCCCGGCTGCTGGTTTTCCAAGGAGGTCTCCCATCCAAGTATTTGGCAGGGTTGCCCCTGCTTAGCTTCTGAGATCTGATGAGATCGGGCTTGCCTGGGCTTTCCAGGTCGGGGCCCAGTGACTCTTGTCTTCTTATCACGCAACCAAAGTACAATAGCCTCAGTTCAGGCATTTTAATTTCTAGGGAGAGTTCAGGCTAGATTTCATCAAGAATCCACTTATTTGTCTTTTTGCCAGCCCACGGTATCAATCAAACTCTCCTCCAACACCACATTTCAAATGAATCAACTTTCCTCCTGTGAGCTTTCTTCATTGTCCAGATTTCACACATTTTATACTACGCATACATCAACTTGATCTTGCTCACCGGCAACACATCCTTTCCCTGAAGAATCTTTCCTAGCTCCTTCCTGGCTGCCCTTCCCATGAAATGTTTGGGTGACCTTAGTCCAGTCATTCTCTGTTTGCCTAAATGACCTCACACATCGGTTGATATAAGGATAAAATGGAGGCAGGAAGAATAACGGCCATCGTTCATTAGTTGTAGATTTTCCGAGCTGGATGGCCGTGGTCTTGGCATTGTAGGACCTGACATTTTGCCAGCAGCTGTGACTGGCATCTTTCTGTGTTATACCTCTGAGGATGCCAGTCATAGTTGGTGGCGAAACGTCAGATCCTACAATGCCAAGACCACAGCCATACAGCCCGGAAAATCTAGAACATACATTGCCTTGGAGGAAGGGCAGGCTAAATATACACAAATAGACTTAAATTTAACCATGCAGACAAGAGATGCAGACAGATTTCCTACCCTGGTTGCTCTTTTTTAGCAGAATGCCTGCAAAAATAACTCTACGGCTTTTTCTGCATAGCACATTGTTCATGAATGTGCAGGTGACAATACCCAAAAGTATAGCTATTTACCCTTTACAGTGTTCTTTCTGTAAACAAAAACAAAAAAGGCACCTGGGTACAGAGCAATGTGAGAAATCTACTGACCTTGTGGGAATGCCAGCCTCCAGGTGGGACCTGGGGACCCCCCGGAATTACAGGTCATCTCCAGACTACAGAGATCAGTTCCCCTGCAGAAAATGGATGTTTTGGAAGGTGGACTCTAAGAACATAAGAACAAAAGAGAAGCCAATGTTGGATCAGGCCAATGGCCCATCTAGTCCAACACTGTCACACAGTGGCCAATCCTGTGGCAGTGAATTCCATGTGTTAATCACTCTTTGGGTGAAGAAGGACTTCCTTTTATCTGTTCTAACCCGACCGCTCAGCAATTTCATGGAGTGCCCACGAGTTCTTGTATTGTGAGAAAGGGAGAAAAGTACTTCTTTCTCCACCTGCTCTATCCCAAGCATAATCTTATAAACCTCGATCATGTCACCCCTCAGCCGTCATTTCTCCAAGCTAAAGACCCCCAAATGCTTTAACCTTTCCTCACAGGGAAAGTGTTCCAACCCTTTTATCATTCTAGTTGCCCTTTTCTGCACTTTTCCCAGTGCTATAATATCCTTTTTGAGGTGTGGTGACCAGAACTGTACACAGTACTCCAAATGAGGACGTACCATCTATTTATACAGGGGCATTATGATACTGGCTGATTTGTTTTCACTTCCCTTCCTAATAATCCCCAGCATAGCGTTGGCCTTTTTTATTACAGTCACACACTGTCTCGACATTTTCAGTGAGTTATCTACTACGACTCCAAGATCTCTCTCTTGGTCAGTCTCTGTCAGTTCAGACCCCATCAACATGTATTTATAGGGAGGATTTTTGGCTCCAATGTGCATTTCCTACCCTGCTCTGTGGCATTGTACCTTGGCTGAGCTCCCTGTCTTCTCCAGACTCCACCCCCCAAATCTCCAGGAGTTTCCCAACCTAGATCTGGCAATCCTACCACCCCATCCTCTGCCGGTGGCCAGAGGGAACCTGGCAACCCTAAAACCTTGCCCTTGGAGTCCTTTTAATTTGCAGCCCATGTAATGTATTTGGGCAAAAAAATACTCCATGGGTTTTACCCCGGGGAGGGGGGACCTGATCCAGGGAAGCATTTTTAAGTGCTCTGGAGAGATAACCCCCTTCTGATAACCTGGGGATTACCTGCTTTACCAGAGAGAGCGAGAGATTATTGGATCTGAAAATACCCCAACAACCAAATTATTCGTTTTAGATTTTTTCCCCCTTTACAATTATGAAATCATGTTCGTTTTCTAATAATTTCAGAAATTTGGTGTTTATTTTTTGTTTTCCAATTTAAACAAAATATAGGAAAACACAATAAAGGAAACATTACTTGTGTGAGTTACTCTATACACAAAAGGAGAGAGGTAAATCCAGGGGTCATTTCCTGCAGGAGCGCACAGGAGCAGAGCTCTGGCAGTAAAGAGCCCAGGGGGGTGGGCACATCCAACAAGCCCCACCCCCTGCTCCCAGCAGCCCTCAGTCAGAGCAAGAAACAGCCAGGTAAGTTGCAGAGCTCCCCTGGCCCCCGGTCCAAAACAGTCCAGTGGCACCTTTAAGACCAAGTTTTATTCAGGTACAAGCTCTCCCTCCTCTGTGAGGACAGATCTGCACGTTTCCCCCCCCCCCAATAGCTAGCAATCCAAAACAGTCCAGTGGAGCCTGAGCGGTGGGTGTTGCCTTCTGACACACTTCCGGTGATGTCAGGGTGTGTGGCATATGCAAATAAGTTATGCTAATGAGCTCCTGCACCTCTTTTTCTACGAAATGACCCCTTTCTATTCAAAAGAAACATTCCACAGGTCATGTTTCCAGGCTCTGGGTGTTGGGAGACCCAGTGACTTCTGCCACCACAAACATTTTTGTCTCCTGGGAACTCTTCTGCCCCAAGATAAACTGGAAACTTGACTTGGACTATAAATATAGCCCAGACTACAATGTGTGTAAATTACTTTCCCAGGATTGCTGGGGGAGGGGGGCTTCCAAGGCCACTATATTCTAATTAGATACGGCTAACATTATGATGTGTAATACATCATATTCTTCCAGTCTTACATTCCATGTTTCGGAGCTCTCCAGGTGCCAGTTATAGCCTCCAACATTTAATAGATTAATATATACAGATTATAGATTAAATCTATCTATCTATCTATCCACGTAATATACACAGAGTGATATATCAGTCCTATACAAAAGGGAAGGCAGCATGGTATAGGCCAGTCTAGTCAAATCTCAGAAGCTAAGCAGGATTGGTACTTGGAAGGGCAAAACACCAAGGAAGACTCTGCAGAGGAAAGCAATGGCAAACCACCTCTGCTTCTCACTTGCCTTGAGAGCCCCTTGCTGGGGTTGCTGTAAGCAGGATTGGTACTTGGAACGGCAAAACACCAAGGAAAACCCTGAAGAGGAAGGCCAATGGCCAACCACTTCCGCTTTTCATTTGCCTTGAAAGCCCCTTGCTGGGGTCGCTGTAAGCAGGGTTGCGTCTTGAAAGGAAGACCACCAAGCAAGGCTCTGCAGAGGAAGGCCAGGGCAAACCACCTCTGCTTCTCACTTGCCTTGACAGCTGCTTGCTGGGGTCAGTATACCTCAGTTGCAACTTAAAGGCACTTTAGACATTCACATCCTCATATCAAGGATCACTAAGCAATCCCTCACCCTCTGAAAGCTCTGCTCTGCCTCCTGTAATCATTTACTCTGCCAGAGCCATAGGCATTTGTTCTTTTACTTAAAGACATACTAGAAAAACACAAACATAGATTCAGGAAGATCGCCGTGTTGATCTGAAGAAACAGGACAAAGTTGGAGTCCAGTGGCACCTTTAAGACCAACACAAAAGCTTATACCCAGAATTAAACGTTGTTGGTCTTTAAGGTGCCACCGGACTCAAATTTTGCTCTAGAAAAACACGAGTATCCTGCAATGTCAGCAGTTCCAAATATCCAAGCCTGTAGAATGGGTGGCTGGGTTACATCTTTCTGAACCTAGCCCTGTATAGATAGAAAAAC